CAATCATTATAAATGGCTTTAAATCACATTTTTCTTAAAAAATTACTCTAAGAGAAATATACTTCTAAAGTTTCTCTTCATCATTAGTCTTCTCATTCACATGTTTATTACTTCATTTACTGACGTCTTAAATGATTTAACATCTTCAATTTCAATCCACTCTACAATTTTACACACCGAATTTCTAGGCTTCTCTACCTAACGAGTAAAAATAGTTTCATGTTTTGTATTAGCTCATTTTCATGCTGCTGATAAAGACATACCTGAGACCAGGAAGAAAAGTAGGTTTTTAATGGACTCACGGTTCCATGTGGCTGGACAGGCCTCACAATCATGGTGAAAGGCAAAAGGCACTTTTTACATAGCAGCAGCAAGAGAGAATGAGAGAGAAGTGAAAGTGGAAACCCCTTATAAAAACATCATATCTAATGAGACATTCACTACCACAAGAACAGTATGGGGAAAACCGCCCTCATGATTCAGTTGTCTTCCACTGGGTCCGTCCCACAGCACATGGGAATTCAAAATGAGATTTGGGTGGGGACATAGCCAAATCATATCATTCCACCCTTGGCTCCCCCCAAATTTCATGTCCTCATGTTTCAAAACTAATCATGCCTTCCCAACAGTATCCCAAAGTCTTAACTCATTTCAGCATTAACTCAAAAGCCCTCAAAGTCTGATCTGTGACAAGGCAAGTCCCTTTCACCTATGCATCTGTAAAATCAAAAGACAAATAGTTACTTCCTAGATACAATGGGGGTACAAGCATTGGGTAAATACAGTCAATCCAAATGGGAGAAATTGGCCAAAATAAAGGAGCTACAGGCCCCATGCAAGTCTGAAATCTAGTGGGCCAGTCAAATCTTAAAGCTCCAAAATGATCTCTGTTGACTCCATGTTTCACATCTAGGTCATGCTGATACAAGAGGTAGGCTCCGACAGCTTTGGGCAACTCTGGTCCTAGAGCATTGCAGACTATAGCCCTCCTCCTGGCTAATTTCATTGGCTGGCACTGAGTGGCTGTGGCTTTTCCAGGCACATGGTGCATGCTCTTGGTAGATCTACCATTCTGGGTTCTGGAAGCTGGTAGCCCTCTTCTTATGGGTCCAATAGACAGTGCCCCAGTAGGGACTCTTTGTGGGAGCTCCAACCCCACATTTTCCTTCTGCACTGCCCTAGCAAAGGTTCTCCATGCGGGCCCTCACCCTATAGAAAACTTCTGCCTGGGCATCCAGGCCTTTCCATACATCCTCTGAAATCTAGGCAGAGGTTCCCAAATCTCAATTACTGACTTCTGTGTATCAATAGGCTTAACACTACATGGAGCTTCCAAGGCTTGGGGCTCCCACCCTCCGAAGCAGCAGCCTGAGCTGTATCTTGGCCACTTTTAATCATGGCTGGAGCAGCTGGGACACAGGGCACCAAGTCCCTAGACTGCTGACAGCATGGGGACCCTAGGCCCAGCCCACAAAACCATTTCTTCCTCCTAAACCTTTGGGCCTGTGATGGAAGGGGCTACCACAAAGGTCTCTGACAGGCCCTGGAGACATTTTCCACATTGTCTTGGTGATTAACATTTGGCTTCTCACTACTTTTGCAAATTTCTGCAGCTGGCTTGAATTTCTCCTCAGAAATGGGATTTTCTTTTCTATCACATTGTCAGGCTGCAAATTTTCTAAACTTTTATGCTCTGTTTCCCTTTTAAAATTGAATGCCTTTAATACCACCCAAGTCACATCTTGAATAGTTTGCTGCTTAGAAATTTCTGCCAGATACCCTAAATTATCTCTTTCAAGTTCAAATCTCTAGGGCAGGGGCAAAATGTCACCAGTTTCTTTGCTAAAATGTAAGAAGCATCACCTTTGCTCCAGTTGCCAACAATTTCCTCATCTCCAACTGAGAGCACCTCAGCCTGCATTTCATTGTTTATATCATTATCAGCATTTTGGTCAAAGCCATTCAACAAGTCTCTAGGGAGTTTCAAACTTTCCCATGTTTTTCTGTCTTCTTCTGAACTCTCAAATTGTTCCAACCTCTGCCTGTTACCCAGTTCCAAAGTTGCTTCCACATTTTTGGGTATCTTTTCAGCAGTACCACACTCTACTGGTACTAATTTACTACATTAGTCTGTTTTTACACTGCTGAGAAAGACATACCTGAGACTGGGTAATTTACAAAAGAGGTTGAATGGACTTATAGTTCCATGTGACTAGGGACACCTCACAATCACAGTGGAAGGCAAAAGGCACTTCTTACATAGTGGCAACAAGTAAAAGAGAGGAGTAAGAGAGATAAGTGAAAGCAAAAACCTCTATAAAACCATTCGATCTCACGAGACTTATTCACTACCATGAGAATAGTACCAGGGGAACTGCCCCCATGATTGAATTGTCTCCCACCCGATCCCTCCCATGGCACATGGGAATTCAAGATGAGATTTGGGTAGGGGCACAGCCAAACCATATCATGTTTATTTCAACGTTCACACATTTCTTAATTGTAAGATCCCAGGTCTCCCAGTTTCTTCTGAATGCCCTCTGTTTCTATAAAGGTGTCAGGTAGGGAGTCATTTCTGGGCATCTAAACATTATTCTACTTTTGATTCTAGCTCTCTCCCTATCAGGGTAATTTGTTGTCTCTGAAGCTACCTCATGAAGCTTTAGAAGTTTTTTTTGCTGCCTCAGCCCCCTGAGTAGCTGGGATGACAGGCTTGTGCCACCACGCCTGGCTAATTTTTCTATTTTTAGTAGAGACAGGATTTCACCATGTTGGCCAGGCTGGTCTTAAACTCCTCACCTCGTGATCTGCCCACCTTGGCCTCCCAAAGTGCTGGGATTACAGGTGTGAGCCACTGTGCCAATCCAATAGCCATCAAAATAAAAGAAAGAGATTACAAAATAAATTACAGAAATCCATACCACGAAATTCTTATCATATGTGGTACTATTATAAAGATAGCCAACATGAAATTAAGTGTGATGTTTACTAAGGTTAAATGAGCAAGGCAAGCAAATATCCACAATTTCTACTTTTAAATAATTCAACTACAATTTCTGTAGCTGGATGACAGTGTCCTATATTATGTAATAAAAACAACCTAATTAGAGAATGTTGAAGGTATGTTTGTCAGTGTTTCCACTCCACCCTTAGCTTTTAGCATGTCCTGTATGCTTTCTCCACAGGTAGAGTTTCCCTCTGCTCTCTCGACTCACCTATAATGGTGGAGTGCTATTGTTTCCTCATTCACGCAAAACTCCTCATCGAGGCAGAGGCTAGGTTGCCCCTGGTCCAGCCTCAATTTTGGATAGGCCCTGAATGCCTGAACCTGAAGGTTTGGGCTTTGCCTTGTTTCAATGGGGTTCTTGGGAAGAAATAAAATTCTTACTTTTCTCTTTTTGGCAGATTATTTTTATTTCTATCCCTCCCTCTGGAGGCAGTCAGTCATCTTAAGGTAGGCCATGGGACAGGACGGTTTGCTGCTCCTCCAAGGATTTTTTCTTCTGTAACAGATAACCTTTGTCACAGACTGGAGGGCAAGAGAATTTCCTGCCTCAATCCCGGAGGCAAACTGCTTTTGCTTTGTATAGCAGAAGGGTCGGTGGAGGTGGAAGGGTAAGCATTCCTTCTTCCTTCTCAGTGACAGTCTAACACCACCAAATGCTTTTTTCTGTTAAGCAAAAATTTGGTAAATCGGTGTAGACTCCCCTTGTCTCTTAGGCTTCTAGGGTTTCTAAACTGTTAAGCTAGTCTTCCCTTGGCTTTTAAGAATTCATTAAAATTTCAGGTGTTTCTATCTTCTTTTATGACTTTTTTTTCCTTCTGTGCCCCTTGAAAAGTAAAATGATTAGTGTGTCCCATCCTTTTTCTGAGGGGCTTGTTGCTCTTTAGAATCAATTTGCCTAGATGCTTTATAGCCACCATAGCTATAGAAATGCAGTTCTCTGATGAAAAACAAGTATTTTTTCATATTATCCAGCTTTGTTGTTTTTATTGTTGGAGTCCTCACTCCAACAATAGGCTACATTTTATTTGGCTTTCTATATTCTGGGTAGAAGCAAAATTCCCAGTACTGTTCGTTATTAATGGAGTTGTCTTTTCCTCTCTACACCCAAGCAGTATGGATTCTGGTATTAAAGCACAATAATAAGAATTGTTACCTATTCCTCTCTGCACCCAAGCAGTACTTATTCTGGTATTCAAGCACAACAATAAGCCCCACAACTCCCCGCTGTCTTTCCTATCTCCTAGGATTCCTTTTTTTTTTTTTTTTTTCACTTATCATGAAGCAATGCAGTCAAGCTCAGGCTACAGGTCAGTGATTGTTAGTTCTTTCTTCCCAGGCCAGGACTATTGGAGGGAGCAGCATAAAATCTTGTTGAAGAGCTAAATTGTCTAGTGCTGTCTCTCCTGGAAAGTCACCCTCCACGTATACTTGGCCTAAAGAGGTTATATATCAGCCTAAGAAAAGAAAACCAATAAGAAGTTGCATTTTCATTAAAAAAAAAAATAAAAGCTATGCTTCATAACCTACTACGCTTACATTCGTTTTCTCCAATAAAGTTTTTAAATCTGAAAAAAGAATCCTCTGGTTCTTACGCCCCCATTAAGGTGAAAAATAATAATTGTTTCTATTCTTGAACTGGGATAGAGTTTCTAGAACAATAATTTCTATGTGTAAAACACTTCATTTAAGGACACTCATTGGGACATTGATTTCTGATCTTTGTGCCTCCAAATCTTTCACTGTGGTCTTCTGCTCTCAACAATTTTCGGGTTGTTTCCAGTGAGATCGCCCAGTTGGAAAGCCACCACAAAAAAGTAAGTCTGGAGAAACTGGGGAACAGACAGTTCCGCTTCCCCCCACCATGCTTCCTAATGAGTATTATTTAATAAATAAGTGCTAGCATTCCTTGACTTCCATTAAAATTACTCTGGTGCACCTTGTCTGTGTTAGCAGTTAAAAAATCTGGTTTTAGCTTTTTTTCCGCCCCCTCCCCACTTCTGCACGTGGAAGGAAAGAAGGAAAACAACCTTGGAAGTTCTCAACTGTCGACCTCCTGCGAGGACGTTTGCCTCCTGCCCTAAGAGAAACGTTCCCTCTGGAGGCTTGGGCTGCAGGCGCCCTTTGTGGCCACTGAGTGCTCCGATGCCCACGCCAGGCCGGCCTTCGGGTTGGCGGAGGCTGGGCGGGCTGCTGACCGCACTTGCGTTGCATCGCAGGGAGCCGCGAAGGGTGAGCCATGCACGAAGGCGTCCCCCGGCGCTCTGGGGGCCAGGATGGGGCCCTAGGGAGAGTGGAGCCGTGGGTTGCGCGGGCCCGGCCTGCTAAGGACTCGAGGTCCAGGGAATCCTCCAAGTCCCGCAAGTTCCGGAAAACACCCCAGCATCTGAAACTACTTCCAAGGGCCTTGATAAGATTCGGCGGTTTCCGAAAAAGGAAAAAAGTCCAGCCCTCTGATTCCGGAGAAGCGGATGACAGTTTGGAGCAGCCCTGTGGCGTGGGCTGTGTACCCAGCCCCTGCTGTGAGTGGTGTAATAACATTCGCTGCTTCATGGTTTTCCACTGCATCCTGGTCATCTGTCAAGGTGAGCCTGAAGGACGTGGTTTGTTGTGGCGAGGGCCGCGGAGGGCAGCAGGGGCCGCCCCCCGAGGAGGTGGGAGAGGGAGGATGGTGGAGGACGCCCTGGGGTGGCCCAGCTTGAGGCTGCTTTCTGATTTCTCAAGGCGCTGTCCGATCAAAGTTTAGCTGCCCAATGGGTTTACCTCGCCCGCTGCCTGGACAGCAGATTTATCAAGACAAGGGAATTGCAATGGAGGAAGAGTAAGGCAGGCAGAGCCAGCTGTGCGGGAGCCCAGAGTTTTATTACTCAAATCAGTCTCTCCAGCATTCTGGATGGAATCAGAGTTTTTAAAGATAATTTGGCGGGTAGGGGCTCGGGAAGTGGGAATTGGGTATTAGACTGATATGGAATTGGTAGTAGTAATCACAGTAAATATACCCATAAAGATGGAGGGTGGGATTGGTTTTATCACACCCGTAGTCTTGAGTGAAGTGCTGGTCCTTTTGCTAACAGAAGATGGATCATAGTAATTCTTGGCAAGTGGTGGTACCATATTTAATAAAGCTGTCACCTGTGCTTGACTGGGATGCAATGCCAATTGAAGCATGTATGTTGGGAGCCCAGGTGGCTGCAGAACTTGACCTTACGATAGTGATGGTAACTATAAGGACTCCTCTGTTGATGAATAATTTTGAGTGCCCTTTGTACTCACACAAAGCAAATGGCAAGGTCTGTTAACTGTCAGCTCAGTCATGACCTGAGAACTTGAGGGCTCCCATCGAAGCCCTAAAATGAATTGGTACTTTTTTTATATCACAGAGGTGATATTTTTGGAAATTAAACACAATATGGGTTGATGAGTTATAATGACAGTTGAATTCACAGTCTCACCAAATTACCCATGTGAATGATAGGGTGTTGATTTGTGTAAAAAAAAAAAAAAAAAAATAGGTCCTGAAACTTGGAACGAGAACATCTGAGGAGGAGCAGATGAAACTGACATTTTTGATTCCCCAAGTTATTCTGAGCCTCCTTTGTTGGTAGAAGAGCTTAGCCTCTGGTAGCTGAGGAGGCTAGTCTTTTATTCCTTGAAACATCTGTGAGAAGCTCACCTGGAGGTCTTGAAAAGGAGTGCCTATTCTTCTTAAGATATACTACAGCCACTCCTGTTGCCACTAGATCCATAATTAGAGTAAATTCTTAGTATGCTCCAGGGAAGAGATACACACTGAGACCCAGGAGCAAAGAACTTACACACTGAAATAATATCAAGGCTTTACTAATATATTGGCAGAACCCTGGAGAAGTGTGTGAGAATGGATTCTGTGAGTTATTAGATACAGATGGGCAAAATAAAATATTGGATTCTTCTGAATGCATTGATATAGTCTCACCTGCTAGAGATAACATTTTTAATGTGTGAGCACATGCACCTGGAGATGTCTCTAACGGTTTACATGATTGGTTTATTGAAACTTGGACTTAACGGTAGCTTAAAGTTAATGAGGTTGAGATCTCAAAATGCCCTGGCGTGATGTGTAGGAAGGAATTCAAGTACTTAGGGAGGTGAGGATGTCGACTAGATTTATCATGTGTGACTTGCACCATCTCCTCCCCAACTCACCCAGTTAGGTTCCACAAAAGGGCCTAGAAGACACTTTTGTCACTACAGTATTGAGGGATATACATCATATAGAGAAGAACTGGCATAATAAGAAGCTCTGTGACTGCTTTCTTTTTAGGCTAGATAGGATTGTAAGGAATGCTGCCATTGAAATAAGTTCTGAAATTCAATGGAGTCATAGGGGTCAAGTGGCAGCAATTATTGTCTTAGGCAAGGTGGGCACCAATACCATTAAGGGTGGCGGATACATGCAGGCAGTCACCACACCAGGGCTGTGCTTTCATCAACAAGATCTGGATCTCAGTTTGAGTTGGGGGAGCAGTGAGGCATTCCCTGGGTGCTATATTTCAGTGTTTGGTGTAACACTTTAAGTGTTTACTGTTTCATCAGTAAACTATCTGAGCCTGTACTTTTCCTTTTGGGAAGTTTTAAAAATTGCTAATTCAGTTACATGTATAGATATCCAGAAATTCAGATTTTAAAACTTCTTCTTTGAGTCATTTTAGTAATTGTATCTTTCAAGGATTTATTTCATCTAAGTTGTTAAATTTTTAGCATATAGTTGGGCCTTTGTTTTCCTTCAGTGATGTTTTGCCATTTCCATGTTCATGTCTTGCAATTCTTTTACTCACTTCTTTTGGATTTTCTTTTATTTTAAGCATGTTTATATCTAGTATATGGAAATACAATTTGCGTATCAGAAAATTGTATGCTGAATCTTGATGAATTGTTTTATAGCTGTAGCATTTTGTTTTGTACATGTGTGGATTCCTTACACTTTTATGTATACCAGATCATGTCACTTGTGAATAGTTTTACTTCATTTCCAATACGGATGACTTTTATTTCCTTTTCTTGTCTGACTTACCTGGCAAGCACCTCCAATGCAATGTTGAATAGAAGTAGTACAAGTGAACATATTTGTCTTGTTCCTTATCTTGGGAAAGCTTTCAGGCTCTCACCATTAAGTATACTGAGGGTTTTTCCTATATAAAGTTATCACTGTGAGGAAGTTGCTTTCTACTCCTAGCTTTGAGTGGTTTTATTACAATAGACTGTTGGATTTTGTCAGATGCTTTTTATGGCATTTTGATGACAATGTGGTTTTTATCCTTTATTTTATGAATATAGTTATTAACCCTAGTTTCATATATTGAACTAACTTTGCATTAATGGGAAAATCCCACTTTATCAGGTTTACCATCATTTTTCTAATATGCTGGATTCAGTTTGCTAGTGTTTTGTTGAAAATCTTTACATCTATAGTCAAAGGGATATTATTTTGTAGTTTTCTTTTATTGTTGTTGTTGTTTTTTTGGTCAGGATTTGATGTCAAAATAATGCTGGTCTAATAGAACAGATGGGAAATTGGAGTGGGGATTGTAAGAAAGAGAGAAAAAAATGATTATGGAAGTATTATATCCTCTTATTTACTGGGAAAATTTGGGAAAGAACATTTGGTAGAATGGTGAAGTCTTGGGGCCTTGACTTTTCCTTATGGGAAGGGGTGTGTGTGTGTGTGTGTGTGTGTGTGTTTTAATTACTAATCAAGCTCTATATTTGTTGTAGATCTATTCAATTTTTCGATTTTGTTTTTCCTGAGCCAATGTTTACAGCTGTGTCTTGATAGGAATATTTCCTTTGCATCTAGGTTTCTAACCATTGCTCTACAATTGTTTAATAGTACTATAATCTTTTCGTTTCTTTAAAATCAGTAGCAATGTTCCTTATTTCATTCCTCTCTTTATGAATCTGGAGTCTTTCTCCCTTTTGTCTTGGCCAATGTAGCTAAAGGTTTGTCAACTTTGTTGATGTTTACCGAGAATCTACTTTTTATTTCATTGATTTTTCTCTGTTGTTTCTATTTTATATTCTATTTATTCAAGTTCTAATCATTATTTTTTTTCTTGATTTGGATTTAGTTTTTTTTTTTTTCTCTTACGGTGTAAGATTAGGTAACTGATTTTAACTATTCGTCCTATTTTTCTTGAGTTAGGATCTTGTTCTGTCACCCAGGCTGAAGTGCAGCAGTACAGTCTGTAGCCTCAAAATCCTGGGCTTAAGTGATCCTTTCGCCTCAGCCTCACAAGCAGCTGTGACTACAGGTGTATGCCACCATGTCAGGCTCTTTCTTCTCTTATATAGGCTTTCTTTGCTGTGCATTTTCTCTAAGTATTAGCTTTGGCTGCATCCCATTAAATTTTAACATTTTGTATTTTTATTTTTGATTGTCTTACTGTATTTTCTGATTTCACTTTTTTGCTCTTTGTTTTTGTTTTTTGTTTTTTGAACCAGAGTTTCACTCCCATTGCTTGGGCTGGAGTGCAATGGCACAACATCAGCTCATTGCACCCTCTACTTCCTGGGCTCAAGTGATTCTCCTCTTTCAGCCTCCTGAGTAGCTGGGACTATAAGCACATGCCACAGTGCTCAGCTAAGTTTTGTATTTTTTGTAGATGGTGTTTCACCATGTTGCCTGGGCTGGTCTTGAACTCCTGATCTCAAGTGATCTCCCTGCCTCAGCCTCCCAAACAAAGTTTTGGGATTATGGGTGTAAGCCACCATACCCAGCCCTAATTCATTTTTGGTTTCTTATTTGACCCATTGATTATTTAGAAATGTATTGTTTAATTTTCACATATTTGTGGACTTTTCTAATTCATGTCTGTTATTTCTAGTTTTATTTTATTATGGTCAGAGATGATACTTTGTATGATTCCAATCTTTTTACATTTATTGACACTGGCCAGGTGTGGTGGCTCACACTTGTAATCCTGGCACTTGGGAATTAAAAAAAGACACATTTTAGAATTAAGCATCTTGCCCTTTAAAAGGGCTACTCTAGATCCCCATCTCCATCCAAAAAGAAAACCTAAAACAAACCAAGGAAAGTTACAAGTAAATTAACTGTCTTTAGAATAACACTCAGCACTTTTTAAAGGAAGACAATGTAATGCAAACTTTTTTCAATATACTGTATACAACATCTGGCATACAATACCAGCATGCAAAGAAAAGATACAATTGTGACCCATAATTTAGAAATTATTTAATGTTTTAGTAGCAAACATTAAACACAATCTAGAGGCAAGAGGATTTCTTGAGTACAGGAGATTGAGACCATACTGCTCAACATAGTGAGAATCAGTCTCTACAAAATATTGGCTGCTTATGATGTTGTGTACCTGTAGTCCTAGCTACCTGGGATAACCTAAGGTTATCCACACTCCTTGGCCTCCCAAACTGCTGGGATTACAGGTGTGAGCCACCACACCTGGTCAATAATCACTTTTGATATAATATTTTGTACCAGTCATTGAACCAGGAAAAACAAAACAAAACAAGCCCTCAAAGATGGAAATCTGGAATTGGTTGTTTGATGTGACTGGGCTTGAAGCCA